TTTATCATGAGTCTGGTTACCATAGTATAGGCTCTGCCTAGTTTGGGATCAGACTAGCGTCTTTGAGATATGTGAAGGTTTTGTAATAACAAAACCTTACATACCTTACATAGTACACCTTACATACTATAGCTATTATTTTATTTCTTCTGTTTCAACCTACCTATGGAATGTATATGTCTGCACTAAAAATATTTCATTTTACTTAACTTCAGCCTTTTGCTCTCCCTCTATTATACTTACTCTTTAATAGTTCAGGCAACTACAAAATAAATAATATAGTGTGTAAAGTTACAATGTCAAAAGTTTTATCGTATTTTAAATACGGTTTATTTTTATATACAACTGGGAGATGTGCCAATAGACTCGAAATATGCAATGCAACGCACGCAATCTTTTGCATGGGTTATGTACTAGCCAAGACCGAAGAATAATTTTAGGGAAGAATGTTCATCTTCTAAATTTATTGGAAAGAGTAAACAAAAGGTAGACTTACCTAGTTTTAAACAAGATTTTTAAATTTGAAGGTACTTCTCTGTCTCTATTACATGCTAACATCAATTATGTTACACTTATTAACCAGGATCACAATTAAAAACTGTTTTTGACAACGGAAATATGTAGCTAATTGAAGTATTATTAAAAAGGGTTTTATTCTTGTTCAAATATTTATAAATACCTACTGATACAATATCTCCCAAATAAAAAGAATTTAAAAGTACTTTATTTATTTAAAAACAATTTTAATGTTTTAACAATAACACCACTCCTCTCAGTTTCCTGTCCACCCCCGCACAATTTATTGCAATATGAAACTATTCGCACGCATTCATACATCAAGGTAGACACAAACACTATCTCTGCATGACACATCCGGACCCATACAACACATTCTATCACTTCTCTGCATCACTCGTGCAATATTTCAACACTGCTACAATTAAAGCTGTATTTAACAGGTCAAGTTAATTTCAGTCTTACATCTGTAGCATTTAAGTTCTATATTGCATAAAAAAATTCAGTGTTAATCAGACAGAGGTCAATAATTCCAGTGATTGGACAATTGAGACATTTTCGCCGGAAGTGAAGTGGATATATTGAAGGCTCTATTTGCACAATTAGTTACGAATGTAATAGTGAAGGGTATTATGAAACCTTTTTATGATATCATAAAGTAACCACATGGTCCTAACATTGTGTTTCTATTTCGTGACATTCCATTATAATATTCTAAGGAACGGATTAAGAATACAGAGTGTCACCACACCTATTCATCCCGTGGCTGTCGTAAGAGCCGACTAAGGGAGAAAACTCCGCAGAACAAAAGCACTGCAGAGAGAAGGAAAACTTGACACAAACCCTATACCAACCCGTCTGGCCAGCGTGGTATAGAAAGCCAAAACCTCCTTCCTAAGAAGAGGCTTATGTCCAGCAGTGGACTATTAAAAGCTGTTGATGTGATTATTGTAAGGAACATAAAAGTCCTTTATCAGCTGCTGTATTAACTGAAACTGATAGAAATAAAGAAATATATTTATATGTACTTAAGTAACACAATAATAACCTTACATCTTAAAAAAATAAACGCACTTAAAACATGTGGACCTCAAGTGAAATTTGAAAAGAATCTAGCTGAGCATTTGCAAGACATGTGCCATTTTAATCAGACCAATCAGATCATTTTAATCTGTCAATCTAGCTTTCATAGTACAAGCTTTGTTTACTTTGAAATTAGATGGCGTTGTGTGTCAGATGTCTGAAAAATATTATCCCAAATAATCAAACCGTGGGCATAGAATTCTACATGGGAGTACGGTCATTAGAGTTCTTAAAACTTTCTTTTAGATACCGTTACTTACTTAGTTAAAGGGGTCTAAAATGGGGGCAAAGTTATGTGTTTAACGCTAGTATACCATTTTCAAGGACATGTACATGTATGTACATACCTACAGGATATGTATGTTAAAGAACATGCACAGGGATATTGGATGGATTGGATAGAAAACAACTTTTTCTAATCTAACCTAACTGATATGTAATTAAATAGTAATATTAAACTCCGAAACAATATTAAGTTATTTTTTTTTTGTGATGTTATCATCATCAACAGAATACAATAGTCTACTGCTGGACATAGGCCTCTCCTTAGAAAGGAGGTTTTGGCCTACTACTCGTCTTCTACGCTGGCCAGACGGGTTGGTATAGGGTTTGTTTCAAGTTTTCCTTCGTTTTCAAATGCTGTTGTTCTGTGCAGTTTGTTCCCTTAGTCAGCTCTTACGACACCCACGGGATGAATAGGGGTGGTGACATTCCGTATTCTTAATCAGTCACCGTTATGTAATATTGAGTAAATAAGCACAAAAGATTTTTCTTATATATACGTGATTATGTTAAAAGTATTAAAAAAAAAGAAGTTTAGTTCCCCAATAAATAAAATACCTGAAGTCTTATAGTACCAGCCAAACAGCTGGTAATTTAAACCTCAAATTCTTACAGATATTTACACCAGGTGCTACAAAATAACGGTATGCCAAAAGTATTCAACATTGCATCAATAAAGGAAGCAGAAATTGGCCAACGTTCAATCAAAGAAAATACTCATTCTTTGGTCTAACAGCCTGAACAGAACCAGATCATCCATTTATAGATAAGTACGGAAATACTGTAAGACCACTAAAGCTTTCCGAAAATAATAAGACGATGCTTTGCATATTGTTCAATTTAACCGTAAAGGCAGTTAAGCCTTCCTCTGTATTGTTAGGCGGTGCATCTGAAGCTCTCCGTCTGAAACAGTCCTTATCTGTTTCATTCACAAATATTTACAAATGCGGATTTGAGTAACAATGTTTCATTCATAAGTATTTTCCATTTATGTTTGTCCAGCATCTAAGAGACTATTAATCCTCTACTGTCCAGATAGTTAAGATTTTATTCCATGAAATCGTTGGCTCCCAGTTTGTCTATTTATTTTGCGGTCTATGCTCTCATTTTTCTTAACTATTCTTAAAAAAAATTGAGGTTATTAATTTGACAAACCTTTTTTATCTGCATATACGTATCAGATGATATTTTGAAATATTTTTTTAAATCAATTTGTTGTACTCATGATTGGTATTATTTGTTTGAAAAATATTTAATCTCTGGAATTTGGAGTATTAAGCGGTAAATAATACAGTTTGTTTTAATTTATGATGTAATAGGCTCATTGAAGACAGCGATGCTATTTAAAGTAAACTAAAGGAAAAAAAATAAGATACTTTGAGAAATATAAAAATTAAAAATGAAGGTTCAATTTAAAATAAATTTTAATATATTTTATAAAGAAATACATAATAATACTAATGGTTTCCATTGCTTTTTTTGCACTTGCACAGATTGTTTTTGTCATGTAACCGTTATAAAAAGGTTATAACTCATTAGATCTTGCTTTCAACGAAGTTTATAAAAAAAATGCTATTATTAAACATACTTTACCGTTAATAAAATTTTCATTCACAACTCCAACCTCTTTCGTAGAATCGGCCAATCTAACTCAATTAATATCAATAGCACTGGCTGTACATAAAATGGTATTGCTTCTTTTGATTCTATTATTAAACTTAAAATTGGAACTCATTCATTAATACCAAATCTCTTTTCATGGAACACCTTTCGAACGGGACCAACGCTTAACATTGAATTATAAAAATTCCGGAGGCGGTGTTCATTCATTTCGTTCGAGGAGACTTAGCGGCACCAGGATTATCCACTCCCGTCTGAAGTTTCATTAATATGTGGTATAATACTTTTTTTTTAATCTCTTTCTATGTTTGTCAGTTGAAGTGTAAACTTTGTATTGTGTACAAAGTTGGATTAAGGAAGTTCGTTTGGTTTGTTTTTTTTTTGTTTGCGTTTAGTGAAATGTGAACAATCTTGTCACCTTTTTTAGTATCATTTTTGTAACTCTCATCACATTATATTAATAATCAAAGAATGAAATAATTTAAACAAAAGTTCATTCTTTTTTGCATACTTAATAAAAATTAAAAAAGCTCTAATCAAATACGATATTAAAACTGTTCATACCCTCGACTATAAAAATCATGGCGGTCAGAGCATCGAGCTTGTGATGGCTGTTTTGATTATTTCAGTGGATTTAAAATTATTTGTTTTATAATTAATTGATGACAATAAATTAACCCGGAAATCAATTCTATATTTAACCATGTTTTAACATTAACCTTTTTTGTTCGGGTAAAAAAGTTTTCAGTTTGTCAATATTATATTGGTATTCTACCTTAAATTTAATATTTTTAGGTAATTTTATTATTGTTAATTGCTTATGTTATTTACTGGTATGTACTAAACCGATTTTGTATGTTGTGGCAAACCGCATAAACCCCAGTGATTTAAGGTTTGCCAATTTTTATTTAATGAATTGTTTAGTTATGTAAATAAATTCTTTTATATCAATGTGTTTTATATAACAAAAATATAATTGTGTTTGAATTTGTGACGCCATCTAACGATAAGAAGTTGAACTATTTCGTTACTACTTATTCTACATTACATAATAAATCTTTTTTGGCAAATAAAAAAAAATGCCTACCTGTAAATTTTGTTACAAAACACGCAATATTTTCGCAAATAAAGAAAGTTTCCTGTTTAAAACAAAACCAGAAGTAAGTTAAAGTTGTCATCAATACTTGTAATATAAATGTGAAATTGAGTTTGTTTGTTTGTTTGTTAGCTTTCACGCCTAAACCACAAAACCGATTTAAAGATTTTTTTCACAAATGTAAAGCTGCATGATAAAGCGAGTAACATTAAAACATGATAATTAGGCCTTTTACTTATCAAGTGATAATAACCATGACAATTTGAATCTTTTAGCTTAAGTTGATACAATTCCCACTGTACAACTATTTAAGTAATATACGAATAAAACCAAACACTAGTCAAGCAAATATATATAATTGTAGGAAAGGATCTTGAAATAAAAACAAGAAATCAATTAATTATTATTCAACGGTCGCTGTAGTCATTGCATCGTTCAGCATTTGACAAGCACCTTTAGGATTATCACTGCGATGCAGGCGGAAGTAGCCCCTTTCACCAAACGAACGTGCCCAAGAGTTCTTCACAAGCCAGTAAGGCTTGCCGTTTTCTAAAATAAATGAACATAAATAGTAGTCAAATATAGGAACAATGAGAATAAATATCATACTAATAAAGGCGAAAGTTTTAGAGTGTGTGTATTTGTTTGTTTGTTAATTTTTCATGTTCAAACGGCTGGTTCGTGTGGTGACGGATTAAGAATATAGAGTGTCACCGCTCCTATTCAACCCGTGGGTGTCGTAAGAGCCGACTAAGGGAAAAAACTACGCAACACTGCAGAGAGAAGGAAAACTTGACACAAATCCTATGCCAACCCGTCTGGTCAGCGTGGTATAGTAGGCCAAAACCTCCTTTCTACGGAGAAGCTTATGTCCAGCAGTGGACTATTAAAAGCTGTTGATGTAATGATGATTATGTGAAACGGCTGGACACATAGGCTATTTTTTTCACGTAAAAATGTAGTGTTCCCTAGGTATGTTTTAGTGTATCGGATCAATAAAAAAAATTATCAACTATTTAAGGCCTTAACATTGGATCATTGCTTTGTCGAGATAGACAGTCAAATCTGTAAAAACGTCGAAAAAATAAAGTCCAATTGTAGGTCACTAATTACAAAATTGCCGCTGTCGGATATATAGATATCAGCTGTGTTGTCACAGTCGCTATAATATCAATATAAACATAGATTTGCAGGCTCATTAGCTCAAAAAAGTTGTTACTAGGTATTTGTAGTTGTTTAGAAGTAAGATACTTTGACTATGTTTAGTCAAAGTATCTTACTTCTAAACCACTACAAATCGTAAATGATCCAAAGCCTTGAAGCAGAATACTTCAGTTCTCATTTTTTTATTTTTTATTATATTTGTAATATACTGTCTGTTGTATAGGAGACAGACAAGCATATTTATCACCTGATGGCAAATCAATACCATCGCCAATGGAATTATGCAACTCTAGAGAAACAATTGCGAATCCCTTTAACATGATCTGGCAAATTCACCCGGATACCATGGTTAAAGTGTGAAGTGATAGTGGTGATGTCGTGGTGAAATTTTACCTGTTCCATATCCTACGAGGAGTACACCGTGACTGATCTTTCCCAAGCAAAGGTTATCTGGAAATATTCCTCCCGTGTACATGTTCAAATACGCAGCTTGTATACCTGTTTAACACAAGAATTAATTTTATCACAATGTGGGTAAAAATATGTTCACATGAATAAAAACAAAGTTTTTTTTTACAATCGTTTGATCTGTTATTTAATCCACCAATTCGACGAACTAACTGATATTATTTTTTTATGGAATAAAAGTTTCGAGGAAGAAATGTCACATTAATAAATTAAAAACCAAAAATATTCGACAAAAGAAACTTACCGATAGAAATGGGCCCAACCTTGTACAAAACTTGCTTGACTTTTTCTTGAGACGTAAGATTATATGAAATACAATCAGTAACCTTAGCTACAATTTTGCTTTTGTCTAATCTGCATTTACCTTTGGAACCTTCATACTTATAGTCTGATTCCTTCATTTGGCCTCCTTTAGCAATAAGTGCCCTGTGGAACACCAATTTACATTAGATGCTTTTCCCAAATCGGTTTATCTTAATCGCCGATCTTATACAAAAATGGCTAGGTATTAATTTTCACAAAAATCCCAATTCCCCATGTGATCCCAATCGCCTGCGATCGGGCAATCTTGCACAAATATTCAATTATATTGATAATCTATTAGAATACAATAAGTATAAATCAGGAAGAACTTTTTGAAATTCCTAATAAACTGAGAGTAAACAGAAAAAAGAGAAAAACTAATTTTCTTTCGAACTAATCAAGCCTATTGTAGAACACTGCTGGACGTAGGCCTCTCCTTAGAAAGGAGGTTTTGGTCCACTATTCTGCCCACTATTACACGCCGGTTAGACGAGTTGGTATAGGGTTTGTGTCAAGTTTTTCTTCTCTTTGTAGTGATGTTGTCCTGCGTAGTTTGCTCCCTTATTCGTCTCTTACGAAACCCACGGGAAGAATAGGAATATTGTAATTAAAAAATCATTTAAAAAAATTGAACCGACTTCAAATAATACTAGCAGGGAGCATTAAAAATTAAAAAATAAATACAAATCTAATTAAAAGAACCAAAGTAAGTGCGACATATAACCTAAGGAAAATAGATACCTTCTAGTCTGTTTGAAGTCGGGGCCAAGCCAAATAAGTAATAAAAGGATTTATTTAATCCCTATTAGTGTAAAATACGACTAGATATGATATTTAAAACACTTCGTACTCTAATGTTTATGTTACCAAACTGTAGTATGTTAGATTATATAAAATTTAGTTTTAATAAGTCCGCTACGATAAGATAGTAAGGAAATGGAACCCAAAATATATTGTTTTCCACATTACTTAATTATCCACCATTAACAATGGGATTTTATTTCAAACCATTTTTTTGCTACATAAGATACATAAAAACATATACGGATACAAGGCACATTTACATTGGTTAAAATTATAATACATTTCGGCCCAATGTGTAGCAAAGTTCGCGCTGTTTTATTTTATATTTTTATTTAAAAAAGACAACTCCCGCATTAGAAATATATCCTGTGTCACGGGGGACTTTACAAACATACATGAAACAGAGACAAAGAACACCCAGACTTAGAACAACTATTTGTGGATCACACAAAGTGTCGTCCCATGTGGGGTTTGAACCTACAACACTTGGCGTAGTAGAGAGCGGCGTGGCGAACGCTTAAACCACTAAGCCATCCGTGCAGTTATGGCAAATACAATGTTTTAATATTTCAGGTTATTGATTATTGTCATTCATTGTCTCAGGTCATTAATGTTATAATTCGTTATAATAAGAATAAAATAAGGTCAATACATGATTATATTATTGAAAGAGTTAGCCTCTACCTCCAGGAAGAATGGAGGTCTAGGAACCTTCTATCATCAGCTTAGCAACATGAGATAACGACAATCAAACGCAAATAGCTAGAGAAAAAAGCTAATCGGTTCACGTTGTAAAATTTAAGGGCTTCCCTCGATTTCTCCAGGATCCCATTATCCATATATTATTGGATGGTAATAGGATAACTTCGGGAGTATACCCTTCCGATTACAAACATAATTTTTAAAATCGGTCCACAATTGACGGAGATACCGCATAACAAACATAGAAAAAGAAAAACATACATACGAATTAAGAACCTTCTCTTTTGTGTTTTTAAAGTAGGTCAAAAAACTAGTATTCATATGGGTAATAGTTACTTCATAGCTGTAGACATAAATCCTCCGCCACATCCATCAGAGTTTTCATCACAGTCCATAAGTTCTTGTTCCGAAAGCGGTATAGCCTCGCGATGTTTAATGGCGTACTGGCTCTCAACACAAGCTGAAAAAACATACATAGTTCTCGGGACTATAAGGGCGTATAGTCTATTTAATTGAGTATAATTTACACCTTTAAAATCATCTTGTTTAAAGCATACATTTTCACCTTCCGCGAACGACACGATTCCCGCACTAGGAATAAATCGTGTGTCGCGGGGGACTTTACAAACATACATAAAACGGACACAAAGAACACCCAGACTAAGAACAACAATTTGTGAATCACACTAAGTGTCGTCCCATGTGGGGATCGGACCCACAGCACTCAGCGTAGTAGTGAGCGGCGTGGCGACCGCTTAAACCACTACGCCATCCGTGCAGTCAAAGTCCTATCTGATTCTAAACTAGGACACAACCTATATTGTGGTGCCCTATATAGACCAACCAATCTGTGGAACGGGTTATCATCTGCGGTATTTCCGGACCGATACGACCTTCAAACCTTCAAGAAAAGAGCGTACTCCTTCCTAAAAGGCCGGCCGCGTTTGTGACTCCTGAGTCGCAGACGTTCATGGGCGGCGATGGTCACTTTCCATCAGGTGACTCGTCTGCTCGTTTGCCCCTCTAACATAAAAAAAAAACAAATAATTATTGTATTCATCATGCAATTATTTTTTCTTTTTGGGAAGTGGTCCCGCAACCTCTTGATCTATTTAATGTAATCATGACAAGTCGATCCAGCTCGGTCGTGAAGAAAATGAATATTCCACGGCAAAATAAATTTCATCCTCAACTTCAGTTGGTTCATTAACTTCTTGTACAATATAACTAGACGTTAGAATCTGCGTCTCTCTTTACCGTTTTCTAAAGTAAACTGTTGGATCAGTATAATAACAAGTAATAAAGAAAATACTAACCAGTTGCACTGAAAGCCCAACAAGATCCACAGCCACCTTGGTCTTTCACTGGAGTGACAACATTTTTGTCACGCCAATCAAATGATTCTGGTGCGCCCGAGTAATCAATATCTGCGTCGTGAATAATTTTATCGCAATAAACCTGAGTTGCATCTTCTCTTAAGCATGTATAAGTTGACACAAATTCTTTAGTAGTTAAGTCCATAAATGCAGTTATACCTAAAAAGTGTGAAATGTGTTGAATGGGTTAAAAAAAATGTGTTTAAAGACAAATTCTTTTCCACTATGCAAACTTTTACTCGTCTAATTTTACAATGTATCTATGATTTTAAAGCGCCAGCTCACCCAAATAATATGCACATCGTCATAGCGAAGCAAAACCTTATACCAACCCGACAGGCCAGCGTGGTAAAGACGGCCAAAACCTCCTTTCTAAATAGAGGCCTATGTCTGGCAGTAGACTACGTTGGTAGTAGTAGAAGTAAGCTTGTTTATGATTAGTCTTAATCTGAAATTACGAATAATGTAAGTTGTTACCAAAGACAGCGTCTGGATGTTCCTTATTCAAGCGGTTAGCATCCTCTAAATTCTTCTTGAATATTTGGAAACGAGTTTCTTTCTCCATTTCATTGGCATATTGCTTGTCAAATTCTTTTATGAAATCTTCAAAGTATCTGTCAGCATCCTCAAGAGAATACTCTACAGATTTAGCGAATACGCTTACGCATAAGCAAGCGGTAATTAGAAAAAATGCGTACATCCTTAATTGATTAGTTGTTTCTATGCTTCTAATACTGCTGTACGAGTACATTTCTTTTATACCAACTGTGAACCAAAACTATGTTCTTATCATCATTGTAATGCAATACTTGGTATTTGAAGCAGTTATGATAACAAAACTATTTGTCATGATGTGTAAAATTTAATTTGGTATTTTTTCATTACCAAATTAATAAAAAATGTTCTACGTAGTTGGAAGATTTTTACTGATAAGTAATGTGGATTCGTATTGACTATAACCGAGGTAGGTATGAGGAGGTAGCCGAGGGAGGCCCTCTTCTTAGAAAAAAGATTTTGGCCTATTCTATGGAAAAAGCTGGATAATGCTAAATTACCAAGAGAACTACTCAATATCATCAAATTCTGGTATGGAAGCCAGGTCAATAGTGTCAGGTGGGCAGGGGTCAGATCTGATGCGTATGGGTTGGAGTGCGGGGTGAGACAAGGAGGGTTGACATCGCCCACGCTCTTCAACCTGTACATGAATGAGCTGATTGAGGAGCTTAGCGGCACCAGGATAGGCTGCCACATAGATGGAGTGTGCTTAAATAATATTAGCTATGCGGATGACATGGTGCTGCTGAGTGCGTCGCCCTGTGGCCTCAACAAGCTGTTGAGCATTTGTGAAAGGTATGCATTACAGCATGGACTTGTGTACAATGCAAAAAAGAGTAAGATTATGGTCTTCGAGGCCGGCAGCAGTGGTGTACCTATTGAGATGCCTACCATTAAACTGAACGAAGTTCCTCTACAGAGAGTAAACCAATTTAAATATCTAGGGCACAATCTGACTGCCGACCTCAAGGATGATAATGACATCGAACGGGAGCGAAGGGCGCTGTCTGTACGTGCTAACATGATAGCTCGCAGGTTTGCACGTTGTTCGGGTGTGGTCAAGATCGCATTATTCCGTGCATTTTGTACCTCATTCTACGCGTGTAGCCTGTGGGATCGTTTTACACTAAAAGCATACAGCGCCCTTCGAGTTCAATATAACAACGCGTTTAGGGTGCTGGTGGGGTTGCCACGTTTCTGTAGTGCTTCAGGGATGTTTGCAGAAGCCCGCGTTGATTGCTTTTATACAGTAATGCGTAAGAGATGCGCGTCCCTGGTACGCAGGGTGCGGGGCAGCACCAACAGCATTCTAAAAATGATCGCTAGCCGAATGGATTGCGCGATCGTGAACCGGTGTTGCAGACTTTCTGCTGGACCTGCAGCATAATGCCCATTTATGTGCCATGTTAGGTACCGGTTCATGTCATTGTATTTCGCTGTGTTTTTATTTTTCATTTACTAACATAGTTATAAGTCAAATTGTTACTAACACTATGAGTTTTGTTACTCGATAGGATATGAATAAATAAAAATAAAAAAAAATATACCACGCTGCCGGCAAAACTTGAAACAAGCCCTAAATCAAACTATTAAAGGCTGTTGATGACGAAATGTGTCTAAGACCAACCCGACCAATAAGACTAAGACCGTGTGCCATTTAACACATACCTACTATGGAATTTAGTGTACTAAGTATTTGCAATATATTAATTTGTGCAGTGAATGGCAGTTAAAACGAATACCTCACGATGTTTTAGGATTAGTACAAAGTTTTATTAAAATATGCAGATTTTTTTGCGTGTTGAGTAGTGAAATTGCCATGTTTTTTCAACAAAAAATTCATGATAACAAATTATTTTTTAATGTGTAACATTTTTATTGATATTGAAGAAAGTATAAAATGACTTGAGGCAAAGCTGGTAATTATTTGACTGGCAATGTTTCCTTTGGCCTTATTGTTCATCAGCTGGTGTGCAGGCGCATTAACGGAAGCATCACAATACTATGATCTAGACGACGCTCACATTCACTTCAATGAGTTTATGACCAAATTTGGTAAAAACTACGTCAGTGAACATGAAATGAGACATCGCTTTGAAATATTTAAAGCGAACTTGCAAGAAGTGAACAGATTGAACCAAGAAGAAAATGTCAATGTTTACGGTAGTTTTATCATTTTATAACTATTTAGTTACTGTGTACCTTTTTAACCATTTACATTTTGCCCATACTCCTACAGCACTTATGTTGAGTTTCATAATTGACTTATCTAGCTTGATATGTTAATGAAAATCCTGGGAGTAGACTTTTCAAATTCATCAATCATTTTAGAAATGATAAGTCCACGACCATGAAATTTGTGTTATGGTGGTGGACGGTTTCTCAGTTTTAAAAATACCAACACCATAAAGGTTTTCATGTTTTATTCAATTATTCTGAGTGAATTTAATTATCAGGATAAAATTTCCAGAATATTTGACATTGTCAGATAGTTAAAAAAATATTGAACATCCTACCTTAGTATTGCCTTCGTTCAAAATGTTCAAACATCTGTGAAATATTTCATAAGAACAAATGGTTTAATATGTATGGTTTTAATGGTTTAATGTAATATTTTTTCTAGGAATAAGCCGGTTTATGGATGTAACAAAAGAAGAGTTTGTCAATACCTATACAGGTTTTCGTGCTATGAATTATGGTGACCATTGCGTGAGGAAATATGACGAAGATATTCCTAATACTAATGTACCAGATTCATTTGATTGGCGAGAAAAGAACGCTGTTGCTAAAGTAGACAATCAAGGCGAATGCGGATGCTGCTGGGCGTTTAGTGCAGCCGGTTAGTAAAACAACATTTTTATTTTGCATGATGTCATAAGAGTTCACTAACGGAGCAAACTCTGCAGGAGAACAACACTACCAAGAGGAGGAAAACTTTAATCAAACTTGAAAACCGAACCGTTTGGCCAGCGTGGTATAGTAATACCACGCTGGCTAAAAGCATGAGTATGCACGTTGTGTTAGTTTCTATTTGTATGTCATCATCATCAACAACCTTTAACAGTCCATTACTTGACATAGGCCTCTCATTAGAAAGAAAGTTTTGACACGCACACACATATCACGAGATGAATATGGGTGGTAACACTCTGTATTCTTAATCCGTCACCACACGGACAATGTCAGAGTGTCTTGTATCATAAATTGGCTATTACCGGAATGTCCAAGTCCTTTAAAATTTGTTATGTAAACGAATCTACAGTGATATCATAAAACTGAACAGTTAGTTTGTTTGTTAACTAGTATTATATACATGAAAACTTTTCAGTTTTATAAAATTTGTCACTATTGCAGCAAAATTGAAAATTTAAGTATTTCACGACTACGGAAAGAATCGGTAGTGTAAAGTTTTTTTATCCCCTCTACAGGTTCGTTCTTGACGATTCATGTCCATGTTGGACATGTTGTTATGTTGAAAATGAAAACATTAAAAAATAATTGTTTTACTGAGACTGAATTCTAAAATATTTGCTGTATGTAAATTGGAACTATTTGCAGGTGTTCTGGAAGGTCAATATGCCATCCGCCATAAAGGACCTGTAAGTCTGTCTAAACAACAGATGATTGATTGCGACCTTTTGTCCGAAGGTTGTTGCGGTGGAACTCCAGGGAACGCCATCAAGTAATTTCATCCATTTATTTTAAAATTGAAGAAAGAAAAAAGAGAAAGAAAAGGAAAGAGAAGGAAAACTTGACACAAACCCTATACCAACCCGTCTGGCCAGCGTGGTATAGTAGGCCAAAACCTCCTTTCTAAGGAGAGGCCTATGTCCAGCAGTGGACTAGTATAGGCTGTTGATGATGATGATGATGATTTTAAAATTTTAGAGGGAACACCACGCGTTCTCTCATATAACTTCAATATATTAGTTAAAAGTATTAAACTGTAAATTTTGATTAGTACGTGATTCATAGATTGGACAATTGTAGAGAAAAGTTTTATGTACGAAAATTATTGCGTCCAAAAAGAGAAGAAGACTAAAGAAAACGTGTACAGACTGACTATCAGAGGGCATGTCTCTAAAGGGACTAAGTAGTTGAATAATAATGAACAGAATAGAAGAACAAAACATATCGAAGGCAAGAGTAATTAATTACTTTTGCATTAATTACATATTTTTTGAACGCACAAATTTTTTCGTAGTTAAGTTCTATTCTTGGGACCTTAATCGAAAATAAAGTGATGGGTATTATTTACACAATCTGGATATAAAAGAATAGAAGGATAAATTATTAGACATTTTTTCGTTCGATATTTCATTGTATACTGTATACTGTTGTTGAAGAGTTATTTGCCTAGGAGCACTTTGCGTTTTCGGAAATGTAAATTATTACAAAATATTAAAACCAATATCATATTTACTTACTGTTAAAAGTTATTAATTACCGACCAAATACATTTAAATAACGTTGAGAAGTTGATAATGTAGGTATGCGATATTTTTTTTCTATAAGTTGTACTCTTCTGTAACTCACTTTAATGTGTACCAGATAATGTTTGTAACGCTGTTGCGGTTTAGTTAATATTAACTGTACTTAAAAAATATAGAAATTATGGAGCTAAACATTATTGGTATAGAGATGTATTTCCTTTTTTCAGATCGGTCATTGAACAAGGAGGAATTTTGAGAGAGCGTGACTATCCCTTTATCGGTAGAAAACTAAATTGCACGATAGAAAAACCGATTGTTGCAGCTGTTAAAAGTTGTACTTTATGGCGAATTGAGTCACAAGAGAAAATAAAACGCCTTCTATATACATATGGGCCTATTTCAATTGGTAATGTAGCAAAATAATGCGTCTGACTTTACGTAAATAGAGATTTAAAATAGGTCGAGATGTATCTTTAGTTTTTGGTTTCTTCATTTATTTTGATAGTAACGTTTCAAGAATTTCTAACTTTAGCACTTAGATGGTCACTGTTAGGTGTTCGTTTGATGTTTTTGCTCTTTTTATGATTAAAAAGAGCAAAAACAATTAGAAGAGAAAAAGGATAGAAAGAAAGATTCCGTGAGGGGTCCGTGGACCCCCTATAGGAACGAAGGTCCATTCGCTTTTTGATGCTACATATTATTGGACTATATATAGTATACTAGCTGACCCTGCAAACGTTGTTTTGCTATTTACATTACTTAAAAATTTTTTTTTTTGAATTTTTAAAATCCGTTCTTAGCTGACCTCTAATCGGTAAAAAGAATATTCCTACCAAATTTCAAGTCTTTAAATCTAATGGTTCCAGAGATATCGTGATGAGTGACTATATACGTGGAAATCTCTTATATATATAATATGTATGAAATATGAAAAAGCTGTGAGCGTCGACGCGCCAACTGAAGTTTTTTTTTTTTTTCTTAAAAAGACAACTCCCGCATTAGGAAAATATCCTGTGTGGCGGGGAATCTTACAAACATACATGAAACGGACACAAAGAACACCCAGACTCAGAACAACAATTTGTGGATCACACAAAGTGTCGTCCCATGTGGGATTTGAACCCACAACACTCGGCGTAGTAGGGAGCGGCGTGGCGACCGCTTAAACCACTACGCCATCCGTGCAGTCATTCGGTGCTACGCCATCACTGAAGTGTCGGAAAATAGTCTTATTACACATATTTCGTTCTCGCTCCCATCCGCTCAGAGCGTGTAACGCGCAATTAGGAACTTCGTTCCAAAATTTTGAGATAAATTACTAATTTTATTGTATCTTACAGCTATTAGGGGGGAAGGAATAATTCACTATGACCATGGGATTATACCTAAATGTAATAATAACACATTTGCTTTAAATCATGCTGTTTTGTTGGTGGGATATGGTGCAGGTGAGTGTTACAGTTCGATGCTTAATACTTTATTTATTGGCCTGGAGGTGCAGTTATATTATTTTTCTTGGTTTTACTAAATTTTAGCTTTAGTTATTTACATTTTATTTGGTTTAATATTAAGATTTTAGTTATAATCAGTTGTAAGAAGAAAATTATTATCGTCTGAGAGCCATGCTTTGGCATGAATGGGCCAACTTGACAGGAGTGAGGAGGTTTCACACAAAAAGGCGCTGTTAGTTTTTTTTTTCGATACTTTCCAATGAGTTTTAAGTTCTACTTTCATTTCTTTTTTTTGTCATATACCATCGAATTTGATACTTACAGTGTAATTATAATGTAAGCAAACCGAAGTGCCTTATTCTAGTGATTGCAACTTGATTTGCTTATATGTCGGTTCCTCGCTGTAGCAGGAACCGACAGTTACCTTTTTCTCCTCTACTATTGTCTATGTTTCTAAATTACATCACTTGAAATCTCCAGGATGCGTATCATCTCTTTTTGTTGACTTGTCACTATATTACGAAACCGTCATACCGTAATGACATATCTAAGGCTATTTGTAAAATAATTCAAGATCCAGATGATTTTGGTGACTGGTTCAAGAAATTTGGCTTGATAGTTAACCCATCTAAATGCCAGGTCGTCATTGTAGGCAGTCAACGTCTCAGCAGGAGACTAGACATACATAGACTGCCACCTGTAACATTCAACGGATCTATAACACCATTTAGTTCTTCTGTAAATGATCTAGATCTGATCACTGAAAATATAGTTATATTAACTGCTAAACCCAGGTTACCAGTATGAATGAAAGAGATAAATAATAAATGATATTTATTTCTGTAAGTAAATCTTTTCAGATATTTTTACAAGTCGGACTTTATAGCTAGAAAGAGCCGGCATTTCCTAAGACTCACTCTGGGAAGAAACGCCGAAACAAACCACAGAGGTTTGCAGAGGAGAGTTGCAGAATATTGCAGTACTTTATAACTTCTGAATTATTTTATTGCGTTTACTTAAAACTATGCAATTTCCGACTTTGATTTACCACATTATTGATTATGCACGACCTGAATACAGATATGCTCAACAAATACCGCTCGTATTTTCATTTATATTTATTATTCATCTTCATAACTGCTTTCCATCAGACATTGAAAGTATGATAAGGTTTACTCTTTTCGCTTTGAACTAGGCTGTCTGCCAATTTGTCAGCGCCGTCATCTGTACGCCCTAAATATATATACGCCCTATATTCTCATTCATTCATATTTCTCCTACACAAATCATCTCTGTGTTTCAGTATCTTTGCTCTAAACATAATAGAACTCTACGCTTTTCAAATAATCTTCTCGTATTATGTCCCAGTCATTCTTCACTTTGTGTAACTTCTCATTCCAGTGTTCAGTCTGTCCTCCTCTGGAACGTCCTGCCTCAGAAAACCAGGATAGCACATAGTTGGATGCTATGCTAATAAATGCGTTATTTGTTACAGAAAACGGCCAACAATATTGGACTGTAAAGAATTCATGGGGTAACTTTTGGGGAAATTCTGGCTACTTCCGTCTGCCCCGTGGTGAAGGCATCGATTCTTGTGGAATGCAAGTTGATTTTTTGACTACAGCAGAACTTGAATAATCTATCGTCTTCTCAGTTTTTAACATATCTAATCAGTTTATATGTTTGAAGGATTTGTCTAAGAAATAAATATATGAGCATTTTATAAGGTATTTTTAGTTAATGACAGTGAATACGGCTATTTTAACGTGTGTATAGAATCAATTGTATCAAAAGCAAGTGTGCTTTTTAAAGTTTATTGTCACATACCTTTTGCTGATGGGGCAGACACTGGATTGTGTAACACAGTTTTTATTGTTGTTAAATTCCGTCCAACAAAGTATTAAAAATAACAACTTCTGTATTTAAATTTGGGGTCATTTGACTCCAAATTAATCTCTTTCTGAACAAAAGGACACTAATTTCTTTATTTAAAAGAAAAATGGATAAATGCGAGGCTGACTGTGCAGATAGATTGACTATCTCGGAAATCGATTCTCGAAGTATTGGTCCGTGTTTGATGACTATCAAATGTAGCATTGCCCTGTAGCACGTAGGTTTTAACTATGAATTGATTATAGGTAGTGGCAGTTGGTTAATTTTTAATTTTAGAATTTTTTATTTTATTGTGTTAATTTTCTAAGTACCATTTACAAGCTTCCACATGTAGAAGGAAGACAGAAGACGAAAAAGAAGTTTTTTTTTATGGAAAGACAACTTCCGCATTAGGAATACATTCCGTGTCGCGGGGGACTTTACAAACATACATGAAACGGACACAAAGAACACCCAGACTCAGAACAACAATTTGTGAATCACACGTCCCATGTGGGGGGTGAACTCACAACACTCGGCGCAGTAGGAAGCGGCGTGGCGACCGCTTAAACCACTACGCCATCCGTGCAGTTATCTTTGATTTGTATTGACTCAGAAGCTTGTGACTAAATTTTTTACAGTTTTAGTGTTTAAGACAATTTCATCTTGTTTTTTTGTAACCACAAAATGATTATAATAGTTGCTATTTTCCTTTTGCAAAATGATAAGTGTGTGATATTCCTGGATGAAGTGTGGACTTGTTTTCAAGAGGCGACACGGTGTTTTTCTGTTTCAGTGACAGAAAATCATTTTTTTTATGTTTGAAGGGGCAGACGAACAGACGGGTTGCCGGCCTTTTAGGAAGGATTACGCTCTTTTCTTAAAGGTTTGGTTTTATCTTTTAGTTGAAATACAATTATTGTTTATTTCAGTTATGATAATATGCACTAAGTGTAAGTGTAAGCACACAACAAACTTCGAGTCCATTTCCTATTCATAATACATATCGGTTAAAGAAACTTGGTTAGAATTTCATACTCATTTATCGTAACTAAAACATTAGTGAAATTAGTTCATCCATACCAGTTTCTAGTCTGAAATTTATCGAAGGTGGGTTCCGCAATAACCAAGATACAAGAAGGCAAGTAAACATTACATATATAGTAAGACACATACAAAATATAACTCATAATATAATATTTATTATTATTAAAATTATTTAAACATTGACAAAGATTTTAGATATAACTTGAAAAATTAATCAACAGTAGCAGTCGCCATAAAAGTGTTGAGCATACGACAAGCCCCGTTTGGATTGTTACTGCGTTGCATTCGATAATAGCCATTTTCTTCAATATCAGCACCCCAAGAGTTCTTCACAATCCAGTAAGGTATTCCATTTTCTAGAGTAAAATAAAGATACAATATAAGATCAGATATATATTATGTCGGAGAAGTTAGAAGCGAGAGAAAGATCCTGTCATCCTTTCAGACACCCTCGCCATTTATGGGTGCATTTAACTAGAGCTAGACCCTTCATCATCATCATCAGCCTTTAACAGTCCTCTGCTGGAAATAGGTCTCTCCTTAGAAAGGAGGTTTTGGCCTACTATACCACGCTGGCCAGACGGGTTGGTATAGAGTTTGTTTCAAGTTTTCCTTCTCTTTGAAGTGATGTTTGTCCTGCATAGTTTGTGGTTATGAAACTCCGTATTCTTAATCCGTCACCAGCTAGACCCTACTTCACTATATTTTCCATCTGGTCAGTGGTAAATAAGTAGTAGGTATAATAATCAATTGGTATACATTTTTCCCTTTCTTTCAAGTAGAAGCTCCTAAGAATTGCCTTATTAAGATGACAATGACTGGTAAGATACCCGAACCGATTAAAATTTCGTGCTATCTGTATGAGGCCAAAATTCGGCGACTAAGCTGGCTTTTGAAGAACACAAGATGGGCAGTATAATTTATATTTCGTCAACAATGAGAAGGAAGGCCCCAAAAATATTGAATTATTAATATATACTTATACCTGTTCCATATCCGACTAGAAGAACTCCATGATGTATGTCTGCAGTACATTGGTCATCCATTATTATTCCCTTTGTGTAATGATGCAAGACTTCACTCGATACCGCTAGAAATTAGAGTGTAAAATTCGTTTAATACATTGTTGGGCTGAAAAATCTGATGTTCCTTGGAATGGATCGTTTCTGGGCGCGGTAAGAAAGCAGCCGTGGGTAAGTTTCTGTATGTAGAACTTTATATCATTTTGTTTTTGTACCTCTATTTTTAATTGTTTATTGTGTAATTCATAAATAAATGTAACAATGATTACATTTCTTTGGACTATTTTAGTTTCATTACGAGATCATTTTCCCGCCCTTTTCAAAACTTTATGTAGGTTCCGCGTATCATTGCTAAGGATGTTTTTCTTAAGGCGGATCGTCTGCTAAGCCTTAGTGACGCGATTATTTTCGGGGTTGGACAAAAGAAGAAGAGAAATAGATAGGAAATTGGAGCTAGCGCCTAAACCATTAACAGTGAACCATTTAAAAGAGAGGCAGTAGTGGTGGCGAAACTTATACCAACAGTGAATATTTAGTCAATGATTGAAGTGAAATCACGGCGTTACAGAAAAGCGATAGTAAATAGTTCTCTCATTGTATTCTCCAGAGTAAGTGGTGCTAGTAAGGTACCAGAGATTATGACGTGGTCTTCCAAATGTCGGCAATATACTTGTGACTCTAGGTAGTACCAGCGTAGGTGGTCACTTACCGTCAGGTAGCCCGTCTGCTCATTTATATCCTGTATTGTAAAAAATAACTTAGCAACTTTTCATGTATGTCTGTGTTCATAGAATAGTTCGTTTTGTAATCAGGGATGCAAACACAATTAACACGATATTCTCCAATACATTTACTTACAATATATATTGGATTAATAATTCATCCGTATGGTGACGGATTAAGAATACGAAGTGTCATTACCCCTATTCATCCCGTCCAAGAGCAAACTAAGGGAGCAAACTACGCAGGACAACTGCACTGCAAAGAGAAGGAAAACTTGACACAAACCCTATACCAAGTCGTCTGTAGTATCGTATAGTAGGCCAAACCCTCCTTTCTAAGGAGGGGCCTGTGTCCAGCAGTGGACTATTTAATATGGTGTTTATGTAATAATTCATCACTTACCAATAGATATTGGTCCAATTTTATATAAAAGCTGTTTAACTTTTTCTTGACTGGTAAGGTTATATGAAACACAGTCGGATATTTTCGCTACAGCTTTACTTGGGTCAAATTGGCATTTTGACTGTTTTGCCATGTATGGATAGTCCTTTTCTGTCATTAGTCCCTTTCCTTCTTTAAGGCCCCTGTGGAGTACCAAATTTCGCAATGCTTTTTTTTGTTAGATTGTGTTTAGCGATGAATAAATGATTATGATTATTACTATGATAGCTTCATGACGATCGTTCTGCTAGCAAAACTTTAAGCGTAAGGATGTAAAAAAAAATATTTTTATGTCAGGGGATCAGATAATTTTTGCATTATATTATTATGTAAGTATATGAAATAATATTTTAGTTTACTTATGAGTTACAAAGTTATTTCTGGATAAAGTGTCTTTAATAAAGACAGAGACAATAAATAAATCCAGTATAATATTCCATTAACTACAAATAACAAAATTTTACTTTCCATGATATTGGTATTTGCCAGTGATACCCCTTTAATATTAAAGCAATTATTAGGGAGTTGTTGACCACTTTATTCTTGGTAATTTTATGCATAAACATTTCTATCATTTTTATCTAACAGGTTTCTTAAAAGTATTAAAATTGACAGCATGAGGTTTGCCACAATAATTATATTAAAATGTGATCGTATAATACACTCCTGTCGACCTTTTCGGAAATATAGGCATAAACAAATATATTCTTACTTAAAAGCCAAACTCATATATCCACCCAAGCAACCAAAGCATTTTTTCTCGCAGTCTACAAGTTGTTGTTCGGCAAATTCTGTGAGGTTACCATGTTTAAGGAAATACTGCGACTCTATATGAGCTGAAATATATATAAAAGTTACATATGAGGCCTCTTGTAACATTAATACTCAAATACAGTTTGCGTTAACTAGGCGAAAATATGATTGAATTTTTAAATTAAAAACAATACAATGTCTACACTTTTGCTAATTTTATTTGGAGTCGAACTTAACCAACCATCTTCTTTCTTGAGGCACTAACATTTGACATTTCACTACTTATTGTTTATCTCATTCTCTACTATAATTCCCATAAATTTCAATGTCTGTCTATACCATTTATTTCTTCATTGTATTACAGTGTGTTGGTCCTCAGATTTTCGACCAATGACATTGCTGAATATACACAAGTCACCAAAATTTTACTAACCTATTGAACTGAAAGCCCAGCAAGATCCACATGCTCCTTGGTCTTTAACCCTAGTGACAGCTTTTTTGTCGCGCCAATCAAATGCATCCGGTGCCCCTGCATCCGGAATATCTTTGTCAGTTTTTATAACATCACAATACATAGTGTAACTATCATAACTTGGGTCCAAGATACATGAATATCTTGCTGCAAATTCTTCCAAAGTTAAGTCCATGAATTTTGTCACGCCTGGAAAAAAAAGATTTATTTAAATATTTGCCTGTCTAAAATGTAAATGTAGGTACATATTTATTAAAGGTGTAAGTCTAGAGCCAGACCGTGGACACGGTGTAAGTCTAGAATAACTACGATGGTATTTTTATGTTCACTATAATTTCGGTCGTTCGGCGTTTTGACCAATTCCACCGATCGTAGTCATATGCGATTGCTTAGTCACTTTCTTCTGGAAGTACTCAAAAAAAATTGTAATTTTGATATGGTTTCTATAAAATGTTGTTAATTAAGTAAGAAGATATCAATTTAGGACAAAGTGATGGTTGGTAGCTGTTTCCATAGATCGTTACTGAATGAACTGACTTTTTTTACTTTCGATTTGACAACTTTTACTGTTGAAACCCGTTTAGTTATAATTTTATATCATTGACTGAAAAATATCTAAATGAGCAAACTTTAACCGTAATTAATGCATTAAAAATGTTATAGTTACCATAAACAGCATGCTTGCTTTCTTTATTCAATCTATTGACATCCTCTAAGTTTTTCTTAAATATACTGAAGCGAAATTCTTTCTCACGTTCGTCAACATACTGTTTGTTGAATTTATTTCTGAAGTCTTTAAAGTGTATGTGAGCATCTTCGAGATCGAAGTACTCCACGGACCTGACCGATGCGGTCGCGCTGATACATACGGCCAAGAAAAGTAACCAGTACATTTTTAGTTTTTGAAGTAAAGTTAACTGTTGTTGTCGGTATTTATAACAATTCTTATTTTGAAAATATGTGTTTATCAGTACAATAAAGTATATTTGGTATGTAAAACACGTTACTTAAAGTTAATAGTTTACAAGATAAACGATTTTATTGCCGTTTTATTATCAAACATATTTTTTTAATTATTTTACTAACAAATTAATTATTTTACTACTTACAGCAATTAAATAGCATATAAACAGCAATTAATTATTTTACTACTTATTTAGTACTGACCGCATTAGCAGTATACAGAAATCATCATCATCATTGGCCTCCAGACGATTTAGTTACTGTCCTGTACAGAAATAAGGTCTGATTAAATGCGCCCGTAACCGGCGAACCTGCAGGAAGGTATGTCAGGATCATGGCAAATGGCGTTTTATCATTTATATCTCTGTTTTATCATCTCTGTCCGCCCCAAACTCCCGTTTGGGGTGTAAAAGTGTATGTAAATATTAAACTTAAAATTAGTTATCCTGGGTTGCGAAGAAGCCGTGGGGTACTGATGTTCTAGAATAAATAAAACGCAGTGACAACCCAGACGGAATTTGTGGTATGCTGAATCTTGATATGATATGGCTACTGCCACCGTTGATTGATTATTTTCGATTCGATCGTTGTAATTTTTTAATTTGAATAATAATTAACAGTTTTAAATAGTTTTGTTGCATTTTTATCTCACTTTGTGCAGTTAAAAAAAAAATCTTACACATCTCACACACCGCCATCTGATCCCAAACTAGGCAGAGCATGTGCTGCGGTAACCAGACTACTGATAAACATACTTATATATTTCTAGATACATACATATTATAGATAAATTACACCCAGACACAGAACAAACGATGGTGCTCATCACACAAATATTTGTTCTAGGTGGGAATCGAACCCACGACCTCCGGTTTAGCAGTCAGGGTCACTAACCACTAGACCAACAGGCCCGTTCATATTTACTTTCATTCAAGTTTCTCAATTATTTCAAATGATTCGGTCGATTTTAGACTAAAAGCTGAGGACATTTAGTACTATTCGATTTCTGGATTATGAGTAGGAAATGGGCACGAAGTTTGTTGTAGCGCTAACTATTGTCAAGTTTGACTGACTAGTAATTAGTATCACTGAATAGTGTTAGCGGAAATATGTAAGAAATATATTTTAAACTAGAACACAGAAACCACAACGTTTTTTTATTTTTCTTTATTGATCAATCAACATTTTTTTAAATTTAACGTTTCAATAAACGGTTTACTTAAATACTTAGTATGCACAAAATACAATAATATGTTCACAACTCCATTTTTCAAGCATAACAATAATAAATAAAAAAACTAAAATAACAAAAACACAGCTAAAAGTAATCAATTTATAATATTTTAAATTGATGATTTTTAGCTGTGTTTTTGTTATTTTAGTTTTTTTCATGTGCTATGTACCTATACTTGAAAAATAGAATTGTAAATATTTTTTGTATTTTGTGCATAAAAAACACACTGTCGGTGTGGTGACGGATTAGGAATATGGAGTGTCACCACCCCTATTCATCCCGTGGGTGTCGTAAGAGCCGACTAAAGGAATATACTACGCAGAACAACAGCGCCTCAAAGAGCAGGAAACCTTGAAACAAATCTGTCAGGCCAGCATGGTATAGTAAGCCAAAACCTCCTCTCTAAGGAAAGGCCTATGTCCAGCAGTGGACTGTTAAATGGTGGTATTGATAAAAAAAGACAAAGTAATTGAATGGTGATATTGTACTCGTATGTAGTCACTGTGTCCGTGTGGTGACGGATTAAGAATACAGAGTGTCACCACCCCTGTTTATCCCGTGGGTGTCGTAAGAGGCGACTAAGGGAGAAAAGTACGTAGAACAACAGCACTGCAGAGAGAAGGAAAACTTGACACAAACCCTATACCAACCCGTCTGGCCAGCGTGGTATAGTAGGCCAAAACCTCCTTTCTAAAGAGAGGCCTATGTCCAGCAGTGGACTATTAAAGGCTGTTGATGTGATGATGATGTAGTCACTAATTATTTTGCTGCATTTGAATCATACATATATTTATGTCAACTAAGTCATTGCAATTACTAACTTACATAGCCAAAAAACTATTGAACTTGTACCAAATACTTTTCTGGTGTTACTATTCTGTGAAGTGGAGGATGTGTGAGTGTCCTCAGGTCATCTAACAAGGGAATGCCCACACCTTTCATTTTTGAAACTAAACTTTTACTTTTCACCCGTGAAGCCGTTGCCTGTCTGCAGCCTTACAGAATAAAATATTTTCTTTGTGGGTATAACAAAATATCGATCGACAAATATCAACAGATTCAGTCAAGTCGATAATATCAACTGTTTTGGGAAAGCCTGTGTTTCCCCATCACCAAAGTGTGTGTGGTAATAAAGGTTAGGAAACATAATAGTTATAACACTAAAAGCAACTGGATAAAAAAGCCCAACTTACCACCAAACCTTCAAAGAAAACACCTTATAAAATGCTCACGTGTTTATTATTCTCACATAAAACTTTCAAACATTTAAGATTTGCTACAAATTAAGAAGACCACAGATTATTCAAGTTCTGCAGTAGTCATGTAAGTACTTTGCATTCCACAAGAATCGATACCTTCACCACGCAGCAGTCGAAAGTAGCCATACTCCCCCCAGTCTGAACTCCAGGAATTTTTCACGGTCCAATACGGTATACCGTTTTCTGTAACAGATAATACATTTGTTAAAAAAACTAGCCTTTTCTCGTGTTACAGTAACTTTATAATCAGTTCCGAACTTTTTCTGATAATATCCTATGTCCTTAGCTGTATCCCTGGCAAAGGACAACTAGTCTATATTTTTTTGTGCGTGTTTAAACCCCCTAGAGATGTGACCCCACGGGAGCTTAATTTTTTTTTTTCCAATTCGACAAAATTAAAAATATACCAAAAGATAACATTTCTATAATCCGGTTGCAACCTACAACCTACTATCAACTCAAAGACACTGAAAAGAAAAACAGTCCAGCAGTTGAGGAAGAATTTACTGACAGAATCGTAAAAAAAACTCGGATAAACATATTTCTTAAATTAAGTATTACCTCTATTAAGTACTTAAAAAACTGTATAACTCACCTGTGCCGTATCCCACCAACAAAACAGCATGATTAACACCAAATATGTTAACACATTTATGTATAATCCCCTGGTTATATTTCATTAGTCCTTCCGCCCTGACAGCTGTAAGATACAACGGATTAGATGTTTACCTCAATTATTTTTTACTTTTCTCTTAACCTACAGATTGTTAAGATCTCTCGTAGACACTTGCTGCTAAATTTGATACTTTCTCATGGTTTGGGTTAACTAGCAGACAGGTTACTTAATAGTAAGTGACTACTGCCGTCCTTCCTGCATTTCAAGAGACACAAGTACGTTGCAACCCAATAAGTCCCAAGAATTGGGAATTCTTTATTATGGAAAATGGGAAAACACTAAAAATAAGGCAAATTCCAGACCTATTTTGGACGTGTGACATAGACATACGATATTTATGGTATCAATCGACATTTTCCTGGCTACTTCCTAGTTTTTAAAATTTGACTGGTTTATTTTATGGCCAAACGTTTGCCTAACGTTAAAACGAGTTGTAAATGTATTTAAATGTAGACATTTTCAGATGGGACACAGGAAAAAAAACTAAGGTAAGAAACATGTATAAGGTGAGGTCCTAGTCTTGATAATGCAAATGCGGAGGAGGCATGGAACTGAAAGAGTAGCTTGAAAAGTTATGGGGCTGCAAGGCTCCGTGTCGATTTTGTATTGTGCGCAATATTTTCCTGAATTCAAGACAGCATATACCCTAATCAAATACTACTAATATAACGTAAAGTAAAACAGCAATATTTTACTACATTACCGATAGAAATAGGTCCATATGAATATAAAAGCTGCTTTATTTTCTCTTGTGACGTTATACTCCATGAAAAACACCTTTTAACATGGACTATAAAAGAGTTGTTTAAGGCGCATATTTCTTGATAACCCTCAAACGGATAATCACGTTCTCTCACAATTCCACCTCGTGTAATGACCGATCTGTGAAAGTGATATATATCTCTGTACCAATAATGTGTAACTTCTAAATTTACCCATCGTTATTAGAATGAAGTACAGTTGATATTAACTATAGCACCACAGCATTACCAACTTATCTGCATCATAATAACGTGGGTGTCGTAAGAGCTGACAAAGGAGCAAACACTGCAAGACATCAGCACTGCAAAGAGAACTAAAACTTGAAACAAACCCTATATCAACCAGTCTGGCCAGCGTGGTATAGAAGGCCAAAACCTTCTTTTTAAGGAAAGGCCCATGTCCAGAAGATGACTATTACAGGCTGTTGATGATGATGATGATTGTTGAAGATTTCAAGTTACAAAAACAAATACCCATATCAACAGCTTCTCAACGTTTATCCAAACTTCTTTCGTCGGTAATTAAGAATTTTTACAGTATGTTAATATAATATTAGTTTAAATGTATTATAATAATTCGCATGCCCAAAATAGGCTGAATGCTCTGAGAACAGAACGAATAAATGTTTACTAATTTTTCTTTTATATTCTAACAGCGTGAGCAATGTCCCATTCCTTCAATCGTCATTTCAAGAAAGAACTTAACAAAGTATTAAGTAATTAAAAATATGTGGTTTGTGTAACGGACTGCTATTCCAAAGGTCGCGGGTTCGATTCCCGCTCAAGTCAAACATTTGTGTGCATGAACATTTGATGTTTGATTTGGTCTGGGTGTTTCTATGTATAATATGTATGTATTTACAAAAAAAAAGTATATATGTATTTATATCAGTTGTCTAGTACCCATAGTACAAGCTCTGCTTAGTTTGGGACTAGATGGCGTCGTGTGTGTGTGGTAGAATATTATTATTATTTATTATTCATGTAATTACTTGATGGCGGTCCCTGGAAACCCTCCGCAACAACCATCGGACAAGTGGTCGCAATCGATTATTTGTTGCTTAGATAGTTCTAAATGGTCAAAACGTTCAAAACGTCCTCTCTGGTGGATGGCGTATTGACCTTCCAGAATACCTGTGAATCATTCGTATTTACTTAAATTAAATGTTTCGGATTTCAGCCTCAGTAAAAACACTGTCTATATAATTAACAACTAAATTTTTGACGTAGCAAGGTGGGCGCTGTTGAAAAGAGTTCATCATCAACAGACTCCAACAGTCCACTGCTGGACCTACTATACCACGCTTACCAGACGGGTTGGTATAGGGTTTGTGTCAAGTTTTCCTTCTCTTTGCAGTGTTGTTGTCCTGTGTAGTTTGCTCCCTTAGTCGGCTCTTACTCTTACTCTTACTAACGACTTTATACTACAGGTTTTGTGCGTACTGTTAAAATACTAAAACATTATTACCGCATTAATTGTTGCTACAATAATGACTAAATTTAATTTAATTGTGTTTTTCATGTATATAATATTGATGTACATGACAATGGCCTGTACTTTTGGGAAAATACAGGTATGCCACTCTGACGTACTCAATTTATCACTTACATAACTTTTACTGCAATAATGATAAAATTTTATTAATCTGTCGAAGTTTTCATGTAAATAATACTAGCTGGCAAACAAACAAATACTTCAGCTTTAAACTATCAGTATGGATTTCTTTAGATCAGTGTTAGAGGACTTGGACATTCCGGTAATAGCCAATTCAAGTTATACTTATGCGATCCTTACGTACTCAAGGTATTAATCACATTCCCGAATATTCGTAATCTCAATATCCCTATCCTACATTTCATTCCTCTTTTATCCATCTTTTGTTTCAATTTACCCTAAATTTTCCATCTAAAACCTAGAAATGCCTGGTTAAAGGCATCAGGCCTTCCCCCTATTATATTAGTTGCATTAAAGTTGACAAAATATAAACGTCTTTAATACGCTCCAAAACCACTTCATGTATAAATGCATGAGTGTATGTGTGTGTGTGTGTGTATGTGTGTGTGTATGTGTGTGTGTGTTTATATTTAACTATATTAGTTTACTAACCGGCTGCACTAAAGGCAAAGCTACCTCCGCATTTGCCTTGATCCCCTACTTCAGTAACAGCGTTCCTCTGTCGCCAATCGAATGATTCTGGTACATCAGTATCGGGAATATGGTCGTCAGTTTGTACCTTGCAATAGTCATCATATTTCATGTAACGAAAACCAGTATGGTGCTGGATAAAATCCTGTATGTCCAAATCCATAAACTGGTTTATTCCTAAAAGTTACAATTTATTCCTATACAATGTCTGAACATTTTGAACGAAGATAACACAATTAGGTGCACAATATTGATTGAACTATATGGGCAATGTAATCCATTCTGGCAATCTCATATTGATAATTAAACTAACTCAGCATAAGTCAAGAAAACAAGACACTTAACTGGTGTTGGTATCCTTAAAACTTAGAAACTGTGTTACGATTTCTAACACCATACCACAAATTTCATAGTTGTGGATTTACTATTTCTAAAAAGATTGAATAATCTGGGAGAGAGACAAACAAGTTCTCTCCCTTTTTGAAGTCGGTTAAAGGCAAGTAGTCCATAGAATCCAAACATTTATAAAAATTATAAAATTACCTACCGAAAACATTAGCATTTTCCTCTTGGTTCAATTTGTTCACTTCTTTTAAGTTCTCTTGAAATATTTCAAAGCGGTAGTTCATTTCAATTTTAGTACTGTACTTTTTACCAAATTTTGTAACGAACTCTTTGAAGTAGGTTTGAGCTTTCCCAAGATCATAGTATTGTGGTGTTGTTAATGAGCCTGCACAACAGCTTACGAACAACAAGGCCAGAGGAAACATGGTGTAGCGAATAATGAATACCTTTGAGTCGAGTTCTTTTATAATTTCTCCAATATCGATAAAATGTTATCTTCAAATTGTTCTGGAAAGAACATGCGAAGAATTCCCCATATTTTCATATTTAGTTCAAAATTTTATCGAAATATTTCTTTTCGATAAAATTTTGTACTAAATACAAAAACATGGTATTGAGGAATTCGTTTTAACCGCCTTTCAAGCCACAAATTAATATATTACATTAAAGTATCGTGTGTTTATTGGCACACGTGTTATAGATAGCCTTATGAACGACTGAATCAAACACATACCGTACTTCGTTATAAATGTGAAAGTGAGTGCGTAACGCTTGCACGCCTAAACCACTAAACCTAATTTGAAAATTATTTTACCAATGGAAAGCTACTTATCAGCGAGTAGCTTAGGCTACTTTTTACCTCGATAACTATATACACGCGGGTGGAGCCGCGGGCAAACGCTAGTCTTTGAATAATTTAGAAATTCAAACAGAAAATCAGTAGATGACTGCTTTAATTGATAATGTGTGTAAAGATGAAGGTGATTTAACCAATAAAATGCAGCTATATTAATGACAGTTTGCATGTTTAGGTACTCAACTCATTGAATCTACGTTAAATTGCTTTCATGTCTTGTTTTAGTTCCTGTTACAATTCAATCATCATGTAATTGTGCATACATTATCTCAAAGATAATAAATAATAAAAGAAATATGCTACCTCATATCATTTTATTTATAATAACTTAATACACAAGTTGTACACAGGCGGACTTAATGCCCAGGGCATTCCTTCGGGTGATGTAGAAAAATGATGCGGTAGGTGCAAGAGAAAACAGGAAATTTAATTTATTTATATTAAATTTGTTACTTTAATTTAACTCTTATTTGTTAAAAGAATATGTGTAAAATTATTTGTTTTTAATTTCGAGGGACGTAACATTTAAGAGCCTGAGTTGAAAAGACAAAACAGTATTTCTATAGATAAAACAAGTGTATATTACTTATTTTTTAATAAAGGCAACTCCCGCACTAGGAATAAATCCTGTGTCGCGGGGGACTTTACAAACATACATGAAACGGACACAAGGAACACCCAGAGTCAGAACAACAATTAGTGGATCACACAGTGTCGTCCCATGTCGGGTTTGAACCCACAACACTCGGCGCAGTAGGAAGCGGCGTGGCGACCCCTTAAACCACTACACCATCCGTGCAGTCAGCCAGTATTACAAACGGATTACACTGAGTACCTAATTTTACAGGCACATAATGAGATTGTGCCATATGTTCTGGTGTTACAGTATTAAAGCAATCGAATACTATAAATCGATTCTGTTTCCGATCACAGAACACTCATCCATACGTCCATCCTGTGCTCTGCAATCTCAGTCCCATTTCCCTTACCCCCAGCTCCTTCGGCCGATATGTTTCGTTGCCCTGTTTTACCTTCATCCTTTGTCCCGCCTAAAACGATTACAATCACGAGGATCGCCGTCAGTCACGCGGGCGTTTACAAAAGAAACCATCCAAAAGCTTTTGCAATCTTACACTTTTCTCCAAATCTAATTGAAAAAATCATTTTATTTTTCTAAGTACAATTTTTAGACGTTTCCGAACGCCACACTGTTATTTGCGCCACAAGGCGTAGCCATTGTAGTTAGATGGAAAAAATAAAAAGGCGATGTCACTTTGTTTTGTTTGAACGAACGAATGCATTGTTATAATACAGTAAAAATTGTTGACCCTATATTTCAGTTTCTAATTTCTGGGGCAACTAGATTCATGCAATAGCATAACATGAGAACTGTTCTGTAAGTGTGTAAATTTTAAATTTAAATTGAACAAGGCCCCCGTCCTTCAAACGTGATTCCATCTGTTATTGAGCACGCAATCAAGATCTGCTTGGATTGCAGTACACACGTAACCAGGGTAGTTTATTAGACATACAGTAACATACTATCAATGTGACCATTGGCTGTAGAAATAATAAGATATATTTAATTACTTCGTTTTATTGTGTCCAAACATACAAACAAGCTTTGTCAACAGATGCCATAACCGAAGTCATCATACCACAGGAATGAGCTCTTTCTCCGCGCTGTAGTAGGAACTAGCCTAATTTACCAAATCGAGGCTCACACAAATATTCCAACATCCAGAAAAGTGAGGCCTCTCTTTAGAAAGGAGGTTTTGGCCTACTATACCCCGCCCTTCGGTCTGGAAACACTCTCCTTTGGTATATGTAAAAGTATCTGGATTTGACAGCATAAACATAAATGATTTTAACAGTCCAGGCATTGGGTACCACTGACGACAGTGAGACTGATGTCGGATCCAATGAGACTGGTGTCTAAATGTCACAATCTGTCAGAGTATTTAATAACATGTAAAGTTCGTCTTTGCAGCAGGAGATCTATTATTTTATAGATGTATTCCATATTAGAGATGTGTTTCTAAGCTTAACCAAAAAAAAATTGTTCAGTCGCCGTGTGTATAGTCGTCAGTCCTGGTAAATTTAACTTACTAGTCTAGTAAGTCGGAACTGACGCGTTGTCGGTGCGTTGAAGTCCGACCGGTGAGCCGTGGCAGTTTCAGTGTAATGGGTGAATGGTCTGCATGCTGCATAAAAAAGAAAGATGTTCTTCTTAAATGGACCGTTAGTGCATAGTGCTGTGCTGAGGGGTAACCAGGCTAGAGCGGTCGCTCCACGCTAGTCATATCCCTATTGAGGCCGAGATTGCTGGCTGGCTGAGACTTGATTACTGCTCATCGCCGTAGCAGTATACATGATGGTGCTGATGCTGCTGCTGTTCTTTTTCTTCTGGAGGTTGCTTGAATACGTTGATATCATAAGTAAAATATACATAATAATAAAAATGATAATATTCTATCACATTCACACAACGCCACCTAGTCAAAAAGGGGGAATCGAACCCGCAACCTGTGGCGTAGCAAGCCCTTACACAAACCACACCGCCATACAGCCGTCATTTATTGTTAATATTAATAGATTATTAAGCATAAATGAATATTTGACTAGTGTAGATACTAATATTATAAAGCTGAAGAGTTAGTTTGGTTGATCGCGCTAATCTCAGGAACTAATTGATTGAATCTCAGGAGTTCTAATTGAAAAAAATATATTTAAAAAATAGTCCAAAAAATGGAAAAAAAATATTCCTTTTAAGAAACGTAGACGAAATTGCGCGGGTCAGCTAATAATTAATATTTCCAATGTATATTATGAAATGGATTTAATGCAACGGAATTCTAAGTTAAACCCCCTTATATAAGTTTCTGATAGTAAAAGTATTTGGAACTTTATCTATGTTCTATTGTTCACCATTGTATCTAAATAGTTATGGGCGTACAACAGAAATACTGATTTCTGACATTTGTGTGCCTAACTGACATGAGAATGGATTTCTGAAGTCTGAATCTAATTTATTTCTAATCTAATTCTACTTAATATAGTTTTTCTTGCAACTGTTATGATGGCAGTGATCTATGACGCATATTTTGAGCATATATATTTTTATGTCTTATTTGTCGTTTTGCCACTTGCTATTAAATTATAATTAAAAACTTTAAGAGATCTCGAGTGGTATGAATATCGGCCTTTGTAATAGTGTTCTGGCCAAACCTGTGTCTGTTGAAGCCCGGAAGTTATATAAATTAGTAGAGTTGTGTCTATGCTAGATGTTAACTAATGTATTCGTACTGTCACAGGGCGATGTAGTGGCACAGCGTCAAAGCCCTCTAAAAAAAAAACCTTAAGAGACCTCCTACCTCAAAGTATCATTCCTTCACTCATTATTTTTTTTAAATAAAAAATCTTTTGTCGAATAGAGGAGTAATAGTACTAGGTATGGAACTATTATGCTTTTGCCTATCAGTATCTGTTCCTATACTAGGTACTAGAGACAATACTACAGGTAATAATAATATAGGTAATGTCTTAGTGAATGTAAACAAGTTTACTTTTAAATATGTTTATGTTAGAATACGAATAGAATAAAAAGTATACGGAGTGTTACCATCCCTATTTATCCCGTGTTTGTCATAAGAGCCGACAACAAATTACGCGGGACAACAGCACTGTAATAGAAGGAAAACTTGACATAAACCCTTTTTTTTTTTTTTTTTTTTTTTTTTTTTTTTTTTTTACGTGTGGAAATCCCCTCGGACCGTCACCCCTCCGGGGTTTGCGGCGGGGTGGTGTGTCGGACTCGGACCGACTAAAACCACACGGTGTGCCACTCTGCGCCTGTAACAGGAGGGATCCGGGAACAGCTGTTGTTAAGACATCCGGACCCCTCCTAGCGCCAGCCCGCTCCTGGTGCGGGCTCCGTCTCAATGTGGATGTTCCTCTCTTTAGGCGACGTCCGGCACACGCGGACGCCGCCCCCTCGCGGCTGGCCAACTAATGCGGGTGGAGGGGAAACCCACCCCGTCCACCCGCGGCCACACTCAGGGCGGCATGAGGCTGTGGTAGGCGGGCCTCCGCCGCCCGGTTCGCCGGCGGCGGATCGGGTCCGAGTGGAGGTCGTCCTCCCGGGCCCTCTCCGCCGCCTCCTTCCGCGAGATTACTACCTCGCAGAAGGTTGCGACCGCGGTAAAACAACTGTCGCTACCGGCCATGGAGCGTACTACGGCCGGTAGCGAGAGATCCACTCCGATGACTGCAGTGAGGGCCCGGCGCTGCGCCGCCCATGCGGGGCAGACCGCCAGCGTGTGCTGGGCCGAGTCCTCACTGCAGTCGCAGTGGTGGCAGGCGGGACTCAGTTCCCTCCTAGCGACCGTGTGCAGGTACCTTCCGAAGCAACCGTGCCCGGAAAGCACCTGCGTCAGTCGGAAGGAAAGGGTCCCGTGCTGCCGCCCTGCCCACTCGGCGATGACCGGCTGGAGAGCCTCCACGGCGGCGAAGCCAGCGCGTGGAGTCTCCAGCCGGAACGACCAACGAGCCATCGTGGCTCGGCGAGCG